ATGGGGTACTGTACTGATATGGATAGGAACTGATTGGCAGACAGGAAGCAGAGTGTAGGAATAAACAGGTCATTGTTTTGAGTGGCAAGCATTGTGGGATACTGCAGAGACCCTAACTATTCACAATCTATATGAATGATTTCAGTGAGGGGAACTAAATGTAAAATCACTAAGTTCATAGATGACACAAAGCTGGGTGGGGTGGGGTGTGAGCTGTGCAGAGGAAGCGGAAATGCTTCAATGTGATTTGAACAAGTTGAATGAATGGGCATGTACATGGAACATAAAATACTTTAAACTTTGGTAGCAAAAACAGGAAGGAACATGATTATTTGAGTAGTCATAGATTGGGAAAATGGGAAGGTGCAATAAGACCCGGGCATCCTTGTACATCAGTCGCTGTAAGTAAACATGCAGGTGCAGCAGGTAGTGAAGGCAGCAAATGGTATGTTGGCCTTCATGGTGGGAGGATTTGAGTACAGGAGCAGGGATGTCTTGCTGCAGTTGTACATGGCCTTGATGAGATTACACCTGGAGTACTGTGGGCAGTTTTGGCCTCCTTATGTGAGGGATATTCTGGCTATGGAGGAAGTGCAACAAAGATTTACCAGACCAACTCCTGGGGCAGCAGAATTGATATTGAGAGAGTGGATGGGTTAGGACTAAATTCACTAGAGTTTAGAAGAACGAAGGGGTAATCTCAGAAGCATATACAAGCCTAACAGGACTAGACAATAAATGCAGGGAGGATATTCCCAATAATTAGGCATTCCAGAACCAGGATCACAGGTTAAGATGAGAATTTTTTTTTTTTTTAAACTCAGTGAAGACCCAATGGAATTCTCTCATGCAGAAAGCAGTTGAAGCCACCGTGTTGAACATTTTAAAAAAAAAAGTATGCGGCAGCTTCTGGAAAGCTTGCGAACGTGTCCTAGAAATCCAAACACACTAGCAGTTCTCCCTTTATTAACACTGCTTGTTATATGCTCCTCTTAACAAATTTGTTAAAGATGATTTCTCTTTCACAAACCACGTTGACTCTGTTTAATTGCATTAACTTTTTTTTTGAAGTGTCGCACTATTTCTTCCTTGTTGGACTCTAGCATTTTTCCCAATTGACAGGTGTTTGGTTCACCAGAATAAAAGTTCTGGCTTTCTGTTACCCTCCCCTTCCACATCACCTTAGACAACTGCTGGAACATGCCTGGAATCCAGAAAGATCTGGAATATTTTGATCAATGCCTCTACTATCTCTGCAGCCACTTCCTTTAGAACCCTTAGATGCAGGTCATCAAGTCCTAATGGCCTATCTGCCTTTAGTGCCATTAATTTGTCAGATATATTGTCCCTCACACTAGAGGCCTTTCCTCATTAGTATCTTGCTCATCTGATACCTTTTGGATGTTAACAATGTCCTCCACGCTGAGGATCAATGCCAAATACTTGCTAAAATCATTTGCTATTCCACTGCTCCCCATTAGCAATTCCTCCATTGCATCCTCCCATGGTCACGTACTCACTTTAGCTAATCTGTTTTTGTATGTCTATAGCTGCACCTGTTTTTGTATTTCATGCCAATTAACTTAAGTTAATTACATTGGAGAAAATTGAATCTAAAGTCATCCACTACTGGTTCCTAAAACATTTCCAGTCTTCTTTAGTTGCCACTAGTTTTTGGTACTTTGTTAACCAAATCAAAAAAAAAAAAAAAAAAAAAAAAAAACCTTAAAAAGGTGTACAAAAGGCAGTCAAAGAGAGTATCCATAGGTAGCTCATCCTTCTCAGCTTTTTTTGTTGACCACAATAAATTTTTGAGCATTATAAAATGTCAGTTTAAAAATCTGTCACTGCTAATCTACTAACCTTCCCCTTCAGATTCTTTCCCCCCTCAAACCCATTTTGGAAAACACTTTATTCGTACATCGGTAAAGTGCTCTTTTATAAAGATGGAGGACATTGGTTTGAGATTAGAAAAGAGATGGCTTGTACATTGGCACCAGATTGCCAGCACAGCCACAGCCTTCAGGACTCAGGTTTGCTGCAGCAAACCTAACTATGCTGTCCCCTATTACTACAGCATACTCCCCCCTCCACCCCAAAGTTGTACTGTGAACCACAGTACTACAGTCAGTCATCCTCCCTGCAGTCGATTCGCTTACCAACACCAGCAGCAAGAATTTTACACCTTTTGGTCAAGGGCACTGGCTGAGACTTCATAAAAGTTAAATTTTGGACCCTAATATCTACTTCATTTGCAGTTAGACACTCCAGACCCATGGACTAAATTTGACACAATCAAAATCAATCTAAATGAAACACTGAACAGAGCATGTGCAGTGTTTACTCAACTCTGTTTCTGCCAAACATAGGAAAAGAGTTATCAAGAGCCTAATGTTTGTTATAAAATAATCAAGAATCTGAGTCAGTTGTAGTTCCAGGGAATTGAGTATGGGGATATACCCTTAAATCTGGAAATCTGTTCCTAATTCTATGAAAATTTGATGGAAGTAATTTAAATAATAAAAACAACACTAGCTGATCCAAACCATGAGCCTTTTAAGCAGCAAAATCAATACTTAGTTTATATAGGGCTTTTAATTTAGTAAAACTGCCTGAAAGGTTTCAGGGGAATTTTATGGAATGAAATTCAGAGTCATGAGCAGCAGAAGGGCACAAGAGGGTTTAAAACAGAGCAGAAATAACTTATGGCACTGGGGTAGTATCTGTCTCTTTCAGGAAGGAGGCCTTGTTCAAGAGTCACTTGCTCCAGAGATGTGTCATTAAAAAAAACCAAACAGGTTGATTATAAAGCTAAAATATAACAAGACATTCCCTCTTAGTTAATGCAGTCTCATGATCCAAGATTTGTTTGTTATACCAATGGACTATTGGTCATTTGTCAATTTTTTTTTCCCCTCTGCTTTTCTTCCAGGATTCCCTGTAGCTTAGAAAGAGGGGAGAGGCGCCAAGGCAGGACAGAAAGGCACCTCTCTACTGTTACCATTCTTGATCAGGTGGTCATTAAAATGAATAATTCCATTTAAGAAGAGATGTGACTGCAGCATGTTACAATTTAAGTAAGTTTCAACCACTCCCTGACTAACATCAGAAAAACAAAAAAAAAGTCAAAAATACTGAAAACTCAGTACCTCATTTCATCACATAGCTAAGCTGTGATTTGAAATTCATACAAAATATAGTTTTATTAGAACAGCCTATCTACAGTGTAAAACCTGAAAAGCAATAAACAGCAAATTCTGGAAAGTCATTTACAGTTTGGATGAGTTTTCAAATGAAAAAGGTTAAAACATGAAATGGAAAGACATTTCTTTTAATACTTATTTTATGCATAAGCTTCCAGCTACACATTTTCAAAGCTTTGTACAAACATTATCAATTGATTAAATATTAGAAATAATTCCTTTACATTTAGACTATTGTTTTAAAACATCCAATATAAATTGAACTAAAATACAATTAGAATACATGGAAGTTACTATTTCTTGCTGACTGCCCAGAAATGTCAAAATTTCAGGTGATCACTTCAATTATTGGAGGGGGGGGCACGCGCAGCAGAAGAGAAGAGGAGGGGTGTAATATCAGTTTCAACATCTGGAAAATGCTAACAGCAAACATAATCTGAACAAGTAGATCACTTGAAGAAACAGGGATTCAATTTACATGCAATAGTGACACAGTAAACAAAATGAGTTTGTTTCCCACCAAATTGTGTGGTTGACAAGTCTAATGGTGACAAGTACATCCTCTTTATTCTGTGACATCAAACTATGTGCCACAAAATACCAGAGAGTTGAAGTGTATCAAAAATAATTAAATGTTAGAGAGCAGAATAACTGGTCATACACTATGTTAGCAATTATTGAAATGTGTACCATAGTTGCATAATTTATTTTGTAATATAGGGCAGATGGTGACATCTAGAGTTAGTACAAACTAAACATCTGGGGGGAAAAAAAAAATGTGGCTTGCTATAATGATACCATAGAATGAAAAAAGGTAGTGGCAAATTTGCATTGAAAATATTCTGATGAAGAAGTCATTAAAATTACAATTGCATTATACAATATTGGAATATTGTTCATGTAATATAGAGTGGCACTGTGCAGTTCCTTTCACATAATGGGACAATTCCGTGTGGCACAGAGGACTAACAGCAGTCTTTTGTTTCATAGCATCCTCTTGTAGCTCACTGAAGATGATTTTCTACACTGATTCAGCAAGTGTTAGTGACAAATTCACAGCTACTAACATTTGAAGTGAGTTCATAATTAAAACAAAAAAAATGTACATGGATGAATATGTTGCTTTGTGCTCAAGTGCAATGAAATTAAAACAAACAACTGACGTGCACCTCTTTGGTTATCACTTTACAAATAAATTGGAACGCACGCACGCACACACACACACTGATCTGCTGTGAGGACGATCTGGTTGTATGGAGGTCTCTCTACTTGCTTGAAAACATCTTCCAGACATTGTGTTCTATACAATATGCAGTCAACAAACAGTTCACTTTGAACTGCTCACATTCCATGACTATTGCATTGTACCATATTAGTTTAAAAAAAAGGAATTAATCACAGATTGTCAATGAGTACATTGAAGGCACCAATTCAACTCACGTTTGGGGAGCATCAATAAACTGAGGCCTACATTCAATTGTTTTACATTGTACTTAGTGACATTTAAGGACTTTAAAAACCAAAATAAAGTTACAGTACATATTTGAATTTATTTGTTTATACTGACCCCTTACAACTGGAGTCAACCAGGATAAAATGCACACTGATTTGTGGAAGTATTTCAGCACTAACTTTAAATGGTCATAAAAATATCAACATTTACAAGTGACATTGTGCAAAAGCTGACTTTAGCATAATGCTGCATTATTCTATTTTCACTAGTGTTACTTTGGTTTAAAGTACTTCTTTTAAAAAAAAACTACAGCAGAGCAAGGAATTCATTTTAGCTTTAGTGACTTGGAATAGAGGAATGCATTTATTTTGCCCTTCCTGTAATGGTAAAAGGCAGGATTACATCTTACCAAAAACTATTGCCATTTTAAAGACTACAGTAAATAGATTGTAAACAATTTGTTCTTCACAATTCATTTTTCCATTCGAAGCACAATAAATGTTCAACTTTTGGAGAGATTATATTTAACAGTTGCATATTCACCTACTAAAATGAAGAATAACATTCATCTCAGTACTAAAGGCACAACAGTACCATCGCTAGGTTCATTTTAATATGTCACTTTTGCCCTTAGGTGTACAAATGCTCTAGTTAGTTCCTAATATCTTCAAAAGTAGCAAGTTTTGGCCCACTGATGAGCTAGAAATTAACATGTTACTTTAATTGTCATTTTATTAAAAATAAAGCCATGAGTGAAATAACCTTAATCTACTTTAGTATCAAAAAGAGAAAACTGAGTACAGTGTAATAAAATAATCAGCATGCCAAATTATTCAACTTAAAAAAGGAATTTGTTGATCTTGAATGATGTATCCACAATGTGGTTCATTAGGAATTACAGAAATAAAGTGCAGTTTAGGTCCAATCATTTCAGCAGGACCTACAAGCAAATTTAAAAAAAAAAATAATAAAGTGATTCATGGAAATCAGCAAACAGTTGCTAAGCCACAGAAAAATCTTACATTTATATACCTGTCTTTAATGCAACTAAATTCTCTAAAATGGTTCATAGTAGGATGTCTGCCCAAATTAAATATTTGTACAAAGATGATCTGTAACTATTAAAAAAATTCAAAAATGTCATGAACAAGCAACTTACAGCCATGTTGTGATTGTCTAGAATCATTAGAATTGGTGAAGGCTGCTTGGATAACCTCTCATTTTTGTGGCAACTTGATATTTCTCCTAAAATAATAAAAATAACAG